ATTATTATTATTATTATTATTATTATTGTTATTAGTATTAATATTATTATGTTATTATTATTATTGTTATTATTATTATTATTATTATTATTATTATTATTATTATTATTATTATTATTATTGTGATTATGATAATCACAATAATAATGATAATGATGATTTTAATTGCTGTGTTTATTATTATTATTTGAGAGGGTATGTGTCCTGTCCACTACGATTTTAGTTTATTTATATTGTTTGCACAGAAGTTCATAGTCGCCAAAGTGCTAATGTCCTCAGTGTACAGGATTTTACATCAGAACTATAATAATGTTAATATTTTTAATGATGGGTATATTATTAACCCATTCGTGACGGGTAAAAATGAACAAAAATTGGGGGAAATGCTGTGCTCATTTTTTATACTTTTTGTGAAATGTCTCTACACAGAGATGGCTCTGCCTTACCTGATTTCATTTGATGGGAAAATGTATTTTTTACTTGTGCTATGAATATCCATGGTTATTTTTATTATAATTTTATTATTATCATTATCATTATCATTATCATTATCATTATCATTATCATTATCATTATCATTATCATTATCATTATCATTATCATTATCATTATCATTATTATTGTTATTGTTATTGTTATTGTTATTGTTATTGTTATTGTTATTGTTATTGTTATTGTTATTATTATTATTATTATTATTATTATTATTATTATTATTATTATTGTTATTATTATTGTTATTGTTATTGTTATTGTTATTGTTATTGTTATTGTTATTGTTATTATTATTATTATTATTATTATTATTATTATTATTATTATTATTATTATTATTATTATTATTATTATTATTATTATTATTATTATTATTATTATCATCATTGTTGTTATTATTATCATAATTAATATCATTACCATTACCATTATCATTGTTATTGTTGTTGTTATCATTATCACTATTATAACTTTTACTCTCTCTCCAGACAATGTTGTAAGTGTACATGACTTGACAGTCTTCAACCTGCCTCTGCTATCAACTTTAACGCAGACGAAAGGAGCCACGGCATTTGATCTGGACATTAAGGTATTTGAAACATGTCTTATTTTGCTTATAATACATGATATTGATGGATGTATGGATGGATTCGTGGGTGGATGGATGAATGGTGTTGATTATTTTTATTTTCGTATTATTATTATTATTTTTTTTTGTATTATTATTTGTAGTAGTATTGTTATTATTAGCCATTCACTCTACTAGTTTCCGTAATTCGTTCCAGCATCATATATCCTTAACGGGAGAGGCAGTCGTAACAGTTCGTCTGGTCGTGGCGGTCAGACGGAAACTGCAGTTATTTTACTGGAAAGCCAGACAGTTTCACCAGTTACGAGAGGACTTGGCTCTACCCGATGTTCCGCGAGCACTTACGTGGTGTATGGAGGCCATTGCGGTGGCTTTCAAGCATGAATATTGGCTTGTGAAGGTAAACTTTTATTTCATTTGGTTTTGATTGTTTATTGTATACATGTATGTGATATTTCATGCATATCTTTTCTCTGTGTGGCTCGGTCTTTCTGTCTCTCAGTCTGTGTTGGTTTCTTTGTTTTTCTGATTGTCTTTGTCTGTCTGTCTGTCTGTCTTTTTGTCTCTGGCTCGATCTTTATCTTTGTCTTTCTCTTCGTCTTCCTCTCTGTCTTTCTCTGTCCCTGCCCCTGTCCCTGTCCCTGCCCCTGTCCCTGTCCCTGCCCCTGTCCCTGCCCCTGTCCCTGCCCCTGTCCCTGCCCCTGTCCCTGCCCCTGTCCCTGCCCCTGTCCCTGCCCCTGTCCCTGCCCCTGTCCCTGCCCCTGCCCCTGCCCCTGTCCCTGCCCCTGTCCCTGTCCCTGTCCCTGCCCCTGTCCCTGCCCCTGTCCCTGTCCCTGTCCCAGTCTCCGTCTCTGTCTCAGTCTCCGTCTCCGTCTCCGTCTCTGTCTCTGTCTCTGTCTCTGTCCCTCTCTCTGTCCCTCTCTCTGTCCCTCTCTCTGTCCCTCTCTCTGTCCCTCTCTCTGTCCCTCTCTGTCCCTCTCTGTCCCTCTCTGTCCCTCTCTGTCCCTCTCTGTCCTCTCTCTCTCTCTCTCTCTCTCTCTCTCTCTCTCTCTCTCTCTCTCTCTCTCTCTCTCTCTCTCTCTCTCTCTCTCTCTCTCTCTCTCTCTCTCTCTCTCTCTCTCTCTCTGTGTCTCTCTCTCTCTCTCTCTCTCTCTCTCTCTCTCTCTCTCTCTCTCTCTCTCTCTCTCTCTCTCCCTCCCTCCCTCCCTCCCTCTCTCTCTCTCTCTCTCTCTCTCTCTCTCTCTCTCTCTCTCTCTCCCTCCCTCCCTCCCTCCCTCACTCCCTCTCTCTCTCTCTCTCTCTCTCTCTCTCTCTCTCTCTCTCTCTCTCTCTCTCTCTCTCTCTCTCTCTCTCTCTCTCTCTCTCTCTCTCTCTCTCTCTCCTCCCTCCCTCCCTCCCTCCCTCCCTCTCTCTCTCCCTCCCTCCCTCCCTCCCTCCCTCCCTCCCTCTCCTCTCTCCCTCCCACTCCCCCCTCCCTCTCCTTCTCCTTCTCCTTCTCCCTCTCCCTCTCTTTCTCTCTGTTTAATGCTATATCACCGCAAGTTCCTATTGATGCACTTGGTAACGGTCCTACCCTATTACAATCAGCTCACAGGGGAACAGAAGGAATTATTCGCAACTGGCCGGAGTCAGGAGCCCCTCATCGCTCGCATGGAAGATGGAGGGCAGCTAGCTCTGGCCCACGACAAGGAGAGCATATTTGTCGACGCGGAAGGAAACGCAACTTGCAACTACACGCTGAAATGGGTTGAACAGCCATTAGCTATGGGTAGGTTCATCGTCAGTCATTATTGTCATCTTCATCTTCATCTTTATCTTCATGTTCATCATCATCATTATCATTATCATTATTATTATCATCATCATCATCATCATCATCATCATCATCATCATCATCATCATCATCATCATCATCATCATCATCATCATCATCATCATCATCATCATCATCGTCTGTGTTGTCTATGACATAATTATCTGTATCATCTATATAATCAGATTCATAATCATTACAATCATTATCATCATCATTATCAGCAGCATCAGCATCAGTTCACGTACCATGACATATTTGAAAAACAAGATAAGTTTTAAAAATCATATGTAGTTATTAATAGTCCTACCAAGTTATAATTTGATTATTGAATGTTCACATGATCATCGGAAGTTGAAATGTGAAAGTATATTCACGATTTTCACGTAGACAAAAAGCAAGAGAAAAAGATTATAGATGAATTGTGTGATGGAAAGAAAAGAAACTTTCAAATGTATTTATTTGTATAATGTATAATTTTCCTTGGAGTTACTTATATATAACTGGAATATCTTTCAGCTTATGACAAGCCCTATTTAGTGGCAATCTTACCAAAGACGATAGAAATTAAAACCCCAGAACCCCAGCATACTGTGCAGTCCTTGAATCTTGAGAAGCCGAAGTTGCTTGCGGTTGCCCAGACAGCTAAGTGAGTATGGAATAAGCTCTGAACTGCTTTGACAAATTCTTGAAACCACTGATCGATGTACAAAAGTTTGTAATCGTATTGAAGGAGACTGTAAGCTGTTGGTATATGTTGAGCCTATTTTTTTGTAATGTTTCCATGTGAAAAGGGAGTAGAGGATTTGGATATAAGAAATATATTTGTTTAAAAAAAGAAATGTATCCTTCACTTCTAGTATTAGTTTAACATTCTTCTGCATGAGGTATCTTAGAATTCTTTGTAAATCTTTCTGTTTATCCCTACAGAGGAAAGGGGCAGGTGTATGTGGCATCAACATCTCACGTTTGGTGTCTCCACGCAATACCTGTCAATCAGCAAATTCCACAGTTGCTTTCTGAGAAGCAGTTCGGTCTAGCTTTAAAACTGGTTGTAAGTAATTATATACTAACACTACCACTAAACTTTTCCGAGACAGTGACAAATAAGTTTGGTGTGTCTACATTTTTAACTTGAGAAGAGTTATAAGACTGCTATATCTAATATGGTATTTACTATGGTATTTTGGCATTTTATCAGATGGTATTTACCAAGCAGAACCTGTTGAATGCTGGTATTTTAATGTAGTTCCTTTCAGGACGTTTGGGATGAGGCTGACGATGCAAAGTGTCAAATGAAGAAGCACATTCAGCATCTGCAAGCCATCCATCTTTTCTGCAGCAAGAATTACCAAGAGGCTATGAATCTTTTCTTGACACTAAATATAGGTGATTATTATGCGTCACTTGTCCGATAAGTATTTTTGGTTTTGAATAATGAGGGATTTATACCATACCACTGTCACTATCACTACCGTTAACACTTTCAAGGCGCTAGCTCTGCCATCATCACTCCTACTGTTATTCTTCTACTACTACTACTACTACTACTACTACTACTACTACTACTACTACAATAACTACTACTACTTCTACTTCTACTTCTACTTCTACAATAACTACTACTACTTCTACTTCTACTATAACTACTACTACTACTTCTACAATAACTACTACTACTACTACTACTACTACTACTACTACTACTACTACAATAACTACTACTACTTCTACTTCTACTTCTACAATAACTACTACTACTTCTACTTCTACTTCTACAATAACTACTACTACTTCTACTTCTACTTCTACAATAACTACTACTACTACTTCTACAATAACTACTACTACTACTACTACTACTACTACTTCTACTTCTACTTCTACAATAACTACTACTACTACTACTACTACTACTACTTCTACAATAACTACTACTACTACTACTTCTACAATAACTACTACTACTACTACTGCTACTACTACTTCTACAATAACTACTACTACTACTACTGCTATTGTTACCACTATTTATCTGATGTTTCAGAATTACCCTTTGTTATTGGTATGTTCCCTGACATGGTACCAGAAGAATACCGCAAC